TTATAGGCGCTTTCCGGTATGGCTTTGAGTTCCCTCTGCGAATTCTGTTTTACGTCTTCTATGGATTCAAAACGCGTTCCTCTGAGTGGTAATTTGAGGTTGGGAAACAGGAAAAAGTCACACGGTGCAAGATCAGGTGAATACGGTGGCTGTTCGATGGTATTTATTGAATGTTTGGCCTTAAAATCGTTGATAATGTTGAACAAATTGAGGTGAATCGGAACAAGCCGGGCGTTGACACGTCGCATACACAAATTGTCCACCAAAATCAAACGAGCCATCTCACGACCGATGCCTAGCTCTCGTGCTATCTCTCTAACACTCACATGAGGATTTTTGAACACGATTTCCTTTGCCTTTTCAATGTTTTCGTCGGTGGTAGAGGTCGAAGGTCGTCCAGAACGCGGCATGTCTTCGACGGTCGTACGACAGTCCTGAAAGGCTTTGTACCACTCATAAACTTGAGTTTTCGATAAAACTGATTCCCCATAAGCCTTTTGTAGCATTCGCAACGATTCTGCACACGAAATTTCGTTCGAAAAACAAAATTTGATGCAAACTCTTTGTTCAATATTTTTTTCCATTGTTTTTTTCGCAACGCACTACTGAGGTGAACTGGTTTCAACAGCTGCCGTAAACGAACTGTCCGACAGATCGCGCTCATTTTTGGCATAGTAATTAAGGACAGTGCTGACAAACTACATAAACTTAAAATATCGAAAAATATACAGCGCGCGAATTTTAAATGAGAATTTCCGAAAGCTTTTCGGTCACAATGTATTTGTAAATGAAGATAATATAGTTGGCAACCTGTAATGTAGTGTAAAATACTTAAATATATTACAGACTAAAAATTTCCATCCGTTATTTAAATAAAGGGTTCTAATAAGCTTCCTTTTTGAAAAGTTAGCAGTTTATTTAAATATTGTTGATCAATATGAAAGGATCATTATGAAATAAGTTTGTTTAAGAGTAGCTTTAAATTATGGATTATATATAAGTTATAGATTCATAATATATATAGCTCAATATTTGCGAAGGAATACCATATATTACTTCGACTATGGAAATATTCAAATAAATCGAATCTATATTTTATAAATAAATATCTATGAAGTAATATTTCTAAATATATACAGACGAGTACAAATTGTTGGCAGTTATAATACCTGTGTTGATGCGTTTAATTTATATCTAAAAATTATATCACAAACGATTATAAATTTATCATCATTTTGTTCATTAAAAATATTTTTTTGATAGTTTCCACCAATGAAAAGTGTGAAAAGCTGCTAAAATAAATTTCAAATAGACAAGTAAGAGTAAATTTTTGATAGATTATTCCATCGCTAGTCCGGTGATCAGTGTATTAAAATAACTTTATGGAAAAATGTAATACCGTACGTGGGCGCCGAAATTGCACATTGTACGTGTAGTTAAGCTGATTTCTTTCAAAAATTAATAAAATTATAAGGAAAATTCAATGAAAACACGTCATCTAATATAATTAGAATATGTTTATAATTTGACTAAAGTACGTGGAATTTATTAAGAATAAGTATGCTCGTCTGCGTTCGAGCACATTAAACTTATCGTTGAAGAAGAAGCCTGGAAACGATAATAATTTTCGCAAATGCAATCGATTCAATAAATTCTACTGTTTTCTATCTATGCTCTTAAGTTAATTTATGTTTATTTTTAATTTGGCATTATAAATATATTCATTTACAGTTTCCGATCAACTCAAGAAAAACAAAAACAAAAACAAAAATCTTCGCTAAAAATAGTAACAAATAAATTTAAACAAATAACAGAATTATTTTTTTAAAAAAATCAAAATTCAAAAAAGAAACTGTGTGCGGGCTGAGTACAACCGATATACGCGGTTTTATTAATATACATTTATGTTTTATGTTTCATATAAAACAGTTTATGTATATTGAAACATAAATTAGCAGCTATAAAATTATTCCGGATTCAATGGAAATATTAAGCGAACTGAAAGAAAGTCTTTATTTTTCTTAAAAAAAATTTTAACCAATAGAGATAAATTGATTAATATAAAATTTAGTAGTATTTGGGTTTACTATATAGATAATAGAAGACCCTATTCCCTCTACAATATCTTTATAGATTTTGATGAAAATGAAATGAGAATTATTTAACAAATTTGATCATTTTCAATGGAACCTTGAGAATCATCGGATTACCTGTGCCCGTTGGTGCCTTTGCCTTGAATTTGGGTGTTATCATTATTGCTGCAGGCGCTGCTTCTGTAAAATATATATTTTTTCTATCAAATTAGTCTGCCAATTTACTAGACAACACACTTCATCAATTTTTTCTTTTTCACTTATTATTTTGTGTATTTCCTGCACTTATTTACGATTTTTAAGATTTTTAAGATTTTTACGATTTTTACGATTTTCATATAAACTAATTTGTTTGAATTTCTGTCTCAGTGTGTATTCGATATGTAAAATGATTGAAAATTTTATATTACATCACTTATTTATATGGAATTTTAATTTAAATGATTTGTAAACACAATTTACACGTTGGAAAAAATAATAAAAATTTTTAAAAGAAATATTTTTTGGGAATATGAAAACTCAGCACATAAACACACAACTTCGACTAACCCTGTCCCATTTTCCGCAGTTGAAAATTTGGCACTCTGTACGCCTCTGCGTCCGACGCTCTACTTTGAAAAATAAATTTTCAATTTTAATTTTTTCTAAATTGTAAAATTTTTGGTCGAAATAACAAAATGAGAACAAACATTTCTTCTTCTTGGTCTTTTACTTTTACTCGTAACTAAACAACAAATTGAGCACGAAATGAGATGGACGGACCTCCAATGAAAGACGCCAAAATGATTTTGTAAACAATATTTCTGTTGCTCAGTAATAAAAACAAAAATCTTATAATTTTAGACCATAGACCACAGCATACAGAGGAAACATAAAGAGAATTCACTAGATTAACCGAACAGAATTAGTTCTTCTTATATACACTCGTACACTACTCAATTTTTATGAATGATTAAATAATATTAATATAATTATAAACTTATCTGTATACACAACTGTGTTGGTATTCCGTAGATTCTCGTTCCTCTGAACTTTCTATTACCGCGCTATCTTTCAACACTTTGACTTTAACATTGATCACACCAGGGATCGTAACAAGTTTATTATTTTTAAATGATTAAACTGAGAATAAAACGTTCATTAGCCATTATTCAGAAATCTGCAGAAAACCCGAAATACATATATACTCGATTTTAACCTTCAATTAATAATGAATGGTAACTTACTAATATAATAATTTTTTAATATAGTATCGTTCGCCAAAAATTCAATTAATTAAAAATATAAAAAAATATTTTGTTGTTGCAATTCTACTACTGTTCGATAAAAACCGCTTTATTGAAACAACAGTTTATATTAAAAATTTAGTTTTAAAATTTAGTGTCAAAATGGACGTTGTACATCAATTTATACATTTGAATAAACATCAAATTAATATATTATGTAGAGTTCTGTCGAATCGAGTTTTTGTAAAAATCCTTAAAATTTCTACTTGTTATGAAGGATATGTTACTTAGGTCCTATAATAGTTTCAATTTATCCTAATTAGATAAAATGAAATGATTGCTGTAAAATCGTTGGAATTTTTATGTTCTTGTTGAAATTAATCAAATTTCACACTGTTGTGTAAAATTTATTTAACTAGATCTAGATTTAACATTTAATATGAATAAATATTTATTGGCAAATCAAAGAGTCTAACAAAGAAGTTCTCAATAAAATTTCATATACCTATAACTCTATAAAAAATGACATAAGATGATTGAGGTACATAAATGGCCCAACTAACAACCTATACTGTGCTCAAATGCGACTACCAATTCAATTAATTACACAACATGAATCTTACAGAAGAGTTGAGTTATTCGATTCTACAGGAGAATAGGAGTCCATCGATCTTAAGTGACAAGTCTATAGAACATGAGTTCGACTACCCATATTGTGTGGTAGTTACTGCTGGGTCAAAAAATTCGAGGTGTTATTGGGGATATGATATATTCAACTAAATATCTTCAAAAGCAAGAAATTAAACTCTGTTCTCTTTCAATAGTTCATACTGTTGTGTAGAATACACCATAATAATTTTTCTTAATCCGTTATATAAAAATGATCAAACCAAAGTTCAAAATTTTGTTCGGTTTTATTTATAAACCAAACACTTGCCTTATAATGAAACAAATACATATACAAATTATATGTATATATTATATCTAACATACACTTTATATATTTTAGATTATATCCTATACTTCAGTAACTTCTCTCTAAAGTTTCAGGCAAAGCGATTTAAAGGAATTCTCAGAAACTAAAATCCAAATATGTTTAATATCTGAATAAATTCACTGTAAGAATTATAGTAAGATCAATGTAGAATATATATAAAACAGCGAGAAAATAATAAAATAGCATCTTAGACCAACCAAAATAAACCAACCAGAATCTTATGTCTCTATACAGCTTTGATCGTCATATGAAAATAATCATACCTACTTTTATAACATAACGATGCTCACAAACTACAGACAAAGTGTCTCTGATTTTATTCACCCAAATTTCATATAATTTTAATGAACTGTCTACCTTACTGACATATGCCGTTGCCAATAGAAGACTTCTCTACAAATACTTATTCTTAAAAATTGCAGTTTAACTTCGAATGTATCTTGCATTTCAAAATCATATGATTGTTGAAATATAAAGTGAAAGAAGTGGTATATATGATAAATATATAAAATATTATTATATTATAGTTGGTGTTTCTATTACTTGACGGTTTAAAATTATTTACAAATAATAAAATCCATAATATATATTTTTAAAAACCATTGATATTAATACTGGAAACAACACTCAAAATAAAAATATAATTAAATGCAAATGAAATGTAGTGACTCTCTTCTTCATTAAACCATTCAAGTACAGCTTATTTTATAGTAAAAAATCTGGAATAATATTAATATAGAAATTTGTGTAAGATATGTTTGGAAATACAAAATATAAATGCAGAGTTTGTTGCTACATCAAAACGAAATAATAATGTATATTATTAACATTTAATTTTCTTGATATTAATAAAACTTTTTAGTTATATTACTTTATCTCTGAATATTAATTTCTTTGTAATAGTTGCTGTTTCATTCCTAAGTTAAAGTAATCCCAACGCAATTGATCATTAATTTCTAGAAATTTTGTTCAAAAAACTGTTTGTTTTAAGAATTAATATTAAACAAATAATCCCAGTTTCAATGTCTATTACATTAAAATAATCTTTATAAATAAATATGTATAACGGTGACATGTGAAAATATGGTAAAACGTTTAATCAAAAGATATATATTTAATATTTTTTAACTTATCAAATTCTTGTTTATAAGTTTCTAATATAATTACATACCAACCACAGTATTACCCTGTATAATTAACCTTGAAATGATGTATTTTCAATCAATTTTATACAAAACGTCGTAGCATACTTTTTGGCGTACATTAATTTAATTTATAAATGATGTCCAGTTCTTATTTTTAAACATTTTTTGTAATTATAAAAAGATTTATATACAAATTATACACAGATACATAAAATATTAAAATTCACAACTAATTTTTACGTAGAAGTAGGAAGTGAAATAGCAATGCAAATGTATGTCACATAAGTTTATAAGAATATAATTTTTATAATATTAATCACATAGACACATGTTGTTATTGTCTGTTAGTTAAGGTAGAGTTTACAAGAAGGGGAATATATATATATATATATTTACATTAATAATGTTAAACAAATAAATTCGTGTAGTAAAACCGTTCACAGGTAAGAGGCAATAGTGTGAATAAAAATCTTTTGGAATTTCTTTAATATTAAAGTTCGATTGATGGCTTCGTTGAAAGATATGTTTAAATAAAAGCACTTGTGATTGCTTAGCTGAGGACTTGAGGGAACTGAGTTATATAACACAAAGACTCATTAGCACAAGTAACAGGGTAAAATAATCGAAAAGGTTTTAACACAATTTGGATGATCAATCGCTAAACAACAATCCAATTAAATGACGAATAAAAAAAAACTGTCAGCTTGTAGTGTTGTTTAGTTGAGATTGAGTGCATCCACTCACCACCCACCATCTGCAAAAAGAAAGCCTTTTGCCAACTTGAGTTCCTTATCGATTTCCTTTAATAGATCGCTTTCAGACCAACTGCGACGATTTGGGGGTAGAAGAAATCGTGTTTTTTTACGTTGCTTTACATTATAAGGATTGGGTATAGATGTTGCAGCAGTAGGAATCATTGTTGCATTCTCGACGCCTTTTCTGCGTTGCAATTGGTGTTTAGTGGTAGGACGAGGCATTGCTAGATCTGTCTTGTAATTCGATTTTTGTACAAATTTCGTATATTCTCGAGATTTAGAGTTACAATACTTATGTTGAGTTTGTTCTATTGTTGAATATATAGAAATACAAGAAATTATAATTAACGCAATGAATCATTAATGAAAACAAAAGTATAATGCTAAGAACGGACAAGTTTTCGATAAATATTGCAACCGAATTTAAATCATTAGTAACAATTTATAGGTATTACTGAAATGATCAGGGTCCTGTTTGAAATACTTAATGTTTCAATAAAAACTTCAAAAAAATGTTGGTTGTTTTCAATATATTCAGGTAATAAGGATATAATTTTGTAATGCATGCAAAATCAAATAACAATTTGATACTATAGTTCATATTAATTTCGTTATGCTTACATTTTAGTTAAATAATTTTACTCTTGTTATGATAAAAAGTAGTGGGTTTTATTAATGATAATAATCACTAATATATTTTTTTATCAGTTTTTTTGTTGTTTTATTACAGTTAATTAAAGTTTCCATTTATATCTCTAATTACTTAAATAATCTTCTCTGATCATCGTAGCAAATTTATTAATACTATGTGTTCCATTAGCTAAATTGGTTACGATTATTTAACAATCGTTAATATATAAAGTAATATACAATAATATAATAAGTTATAAATATAATAAAAATTGAAGAGTTTCAATTTATTCTTAAACGATAATATAATTAATAATATAAGTAAGATTATAATTTATTTAATAACTGATTATATTTATACAATCATATGATGATAATGTTAAACAAATCTTAGAAGGCAAAAAATTTATATAATTTTTCATATAATTCATATATAATGTACATGTGTAGGTATATCGAATATAGGTTCGAAATGATTTTAGTTCAAAAGCTTACATTTTTCATGCATTTATTAAAATTTCTTTATATATTTTGGAGTATTCAAATGGGTATTGTTTTTAAATTACAATTCCAAATACTATTGTCTTCTGTGTGAATTTTTGTTAAAATTAATTGTTAACAGCAGTAGATAATATATCATTGTAATGTAGCAATATGTAACCTAAAAACCTAATTTTAAATAAAGAAAATAAAAAATACCAATCGATACTCTTTCTTTGAATCGTATTTCTATATCTCTTAAATCAACAATTTAAATCATTTGATTATATATTAAAATGGTTGCATCTAGTGGTTTTGATATAACTTAAGCTGTTCATTTTTATACAGTATTTAAGCATAATAATGCATTGCTTCCTGATTATTGGTAATAATTACAATTCAAAGAGGTATCATTAGCTAGCTAATAACTACCATCAGCGGGAAGCCAGTAAAACGACCGGTTAGCAACTGTATTTTGTGATATGCACATCATATAATTAATTCATCGTTAAATCAAAAATATTAGTTATTATTGCTGCATTTATGAATAGACAATAATTTTAAATGAAAAAACGTTAGTGCTCTTCAATCTAGATATATTAATAGCAATTTTGATCAAAATATATGAATCTAAACTTATATTTTTCGTTCAATCGGCGTTCTCTCCAGTTCTACTTTCTGCTTAGAATAGAACTGTTTGTAAGGATACGTATCCTAGTGTTTCAAAAAAAGGGTTAACTATTTCAATGTTCTGATTTGGCAGCTTTATTTTAGTGACTTATGTCAAACAGAGCTAGCTAGCATCTAAGATATCACGCATTTAGTAAAAGCTTTGCCATTAAACAATGTGTATCGTTTAACAACCGCTAAGTATATTTAAATTGTGATAACTCACTAAATACAAAAGTGTCGATTTTTCGCAATCCAGTTTTGATGAGTGATGAGGCTCATTTTGCATTTGATGGATATAGCAACAAATGAAAAAATTGAAAATAACTATAAAAAAATTATTACACTATATTACCATTGTAGAATGGAGTGGCAATTATTTTTGGAGAGGGATAGCCTATACTTACATGTTAAAGGATGATGAACTTGTGACACAAACCGTAATGATCTGGTCATTATGATTAATACAATCATATGATTATCAATATTCGAACATTTAAATCTGGAAGATATGTGGTCTCAACAGAATGGTGTCACAAGCCACACAACACTGTGAGAAATTTTCGGAAATATAATTTCGAAATGTTTTAGTGATGTGAATTGGACTTTAAGATCAAGTAATTTACCACCATTGGACTTTTCTTAAGAGTTATGTTAAGCATCGTGTTAACCCGAACAATTCTCAAACTTCCAGAGCGAACACTTTGAGTAACAACATTCATCAAGTAACGGCTAAGCTTTTGCAACGTCTTGGAAAATTACCTGATCTAGTAGTGTAACATACCCAGCGGAGAACATATGCATTATATTGTATTTCAGATCTAACAATATATTAAAATGAATTTATTTAAATATATTTAATTAAAATAAGTATATTAAAATAAATAAAACTCTTTACTTTAACTTTTGTAACTACAAAATAACTAACCCTGCACTATAAAACTTTTATAAGCACTTACTTTTTATAATATATATGAGAAATAATTTTTTCTTCCTATATGCTGTTAGTAAGTGATTTAGCTGCAATGAGCTCTTCATATCATAGTATTAGGTCTGTAGGTTATTATATTTTTCTGTGTATTTATTTCAAAAATGTGTTAATTATACTACTTATTATTAATTTAGCTTTATAATATATTTAGGCGCGATTTTATTTATTTCAGTGCATAAATGTGAAATTACATATTCATCTGATTTAAGAGTCACTCACGCATATGTATATAGCATTTTAATATTTAAAGCACTTAAAGTATATTCCGGTCACGCTCATTTTACAATAGATTTTAATAAATTCAGCTATTGTGAACAACTTTTTCTACTACATATATGTCAATATAGCTTAGTTTTTGAGATATTGGTTTTTAAGTTTAAAAATAATTATGTGAAATTTGACATGGAAGTTTTACATGCAAATCTAATATGAAAAATTTTAATTGAAATTTATCACTAAAATTTTACATGAAGCAACAAGTAGTCGTGCCATCTGTCATATGGCGTACCTGGGAGATTGGAATTGCGTTAGTATTACATATATCTTTGAGTATAAAACTCTGTGCAAAATAAACCAGGAAAGGCATTTCAAAAACAACTTAATGAAATTGTGCTCTGTTCTCAGATATTTTTAGTGATAAACATGAACAAAAGTGATTTTAAAAGTGATATTTAATAACGCGAATATTATTATATTATTATTATATCTGTTATATGTAATATCTGTAATGCTCGTATATCTGTAATATCTGTTCTCAGAAATTCATAGTAATAAATATAAATAAAAGTGATTTTGATATATTTAATAATGCGAATATTATTATAATATTATTATTATATATATTATTTTGTATTATATATAATAATATATATTAATATAATTATTATTTATAATTATAATTAATATTATTATATTATAATATTACAAAATTAATTTAATTAGTACTAGTGGTGTGCTAATAATAAATCTATTGCATTAACATTATTAATGAGGATTATTAGTGCTAGTGGTATGCTTAAACATATTATCATAATATATACTACATATATTCTAAAGTAATTTTATATACACGAACATATATTTCATTTTAGTAATAATATTATATGTATATTGATGTATTTTCTAAAATGTTTTTAAATATACGGGTATTATATAGACAAAAGTAACAAATCATGCAAATCATTCGAGGTTATAAAATATATATAATTAAATATATTATTTTTAATTGTGCTACATCACTAATTTTATTTATTTTCATTATTATTTTTTATTCTACTTTTTATTTTATTTTTTTTTGATTTTATTTTTTATTTCAACTATGAACAACAAGACGAACGAAAATAAAAACAAAACAATTTTTATTCAGATTTTTTGTTAAAAATATATTTTTATTTAACAAACAAAATTTATTGCATACATACATAAATAATTACTAGAATTATTAATTAAAATTATAATTAATGTTTGTTTGTTTAGTTTAATTAAACATTTACAATAAATCGTTTCGATATTTCGTTAATTTTTTAAAAAAGTTTTTCGTTAAATATTATTTAGTAATAGTTGTATTGTAATTAATAGATCGTTTAATTTTTATCAAAGCTACGCCAATAATTATTGAATTCTTCATAAATTCTACTCCTAAAAGGCGATGTGGCAAACATTTCGCCAAAGGATACTGGTAGCTTTGTGTAAAATGGCGATTTGGGTATTGCACTCAACAGATTTGGTATAGCTGTTGCTGTAGTTACTGTTGTTGTAGGTGATGTTATTGGTACTGATATAGGTGTTGGTGACAAGAGGTCCCTCTCATCAAAATATTCTAGGCGAGCAATGAAATAAATAAACAAATGGAAACAATATTTTAGAGTATGAAATTTATATCTCATCCACAAAAAATTGAATTATTACAGACACCATCGAATATATGTACTTGTGTTTAGTTGAGAGCGAATGTGAATGCATACGAGTATATGTATGTTGACTATATACAAACAGATACGAGTGCGAGTAAATGAGTAGATTTATAAATGAGAATGAGTATATGAGAATGTGCATAAATTAAATTTAATTATTTTTTTGTTTTCGTGTTCATTTGCATGTTTACAAATACGAAAAACTTAAACTAAAAATTTAAGCACATTTGGAAAATGAATTCGAATTTGGTTTATGCAACTTTTTTCCAAGCACTCCACACAGATAAGCCAATTAGAACCGCAGTACCCAAATAGCTACCAGCACCAAATAACACAGCTGATGTGGTGGGTGAATTTTCATTAAGTGTGGGACTAGAAAGAGTAGTAGTAGAATTGGGAGATGAAGTTATAGTATTACAATTACTAGTTACAGAAGCAGTTGAAGCGGATGCGTATAGATTTTCTTGGATAGGAGTATCATTTTGAGTGCACTCACCCTGAGCAATTGGTATATTTCTAACTGCAGCACCGCTACCTCTGCTACCACCAATAACACCTGTAGTTCCGGGTTGTCGTGATATTTTAATTGTTTTAACAACTGAGGACTTCTTTGTAGCGCTGCTCATTGCGTTATTGTTGCCTTCTTTACGATGTTCTTCCTCTTGGTGTATCTCACGTTCACCTCCATCGATTTGTTCTTTTTGATGATTAGAAAATTTGGCGAACTCAAGCAAATGTCTTGGTAAGTGATTTAGATCAGCTTCAATTTTACCATCTGAAATCTTAACTGTTGGCAGCTCTTCAGTTTCACTGACATTACCAACTCCTACTGGTTGCGATTCAGCACCACTTTCCCAGTCACTGTCAGCAGGCATTGCTAACTTAGAGCGACGTTCCTTGACACGACTGAGAAATTCTTGACTTATATCAGGTTTGGTATTGCTTAACTGTATAGGTATTTGATGACCACTGGACTCCTCATTTAATTTCGAAATTTTTATAATTTTTTGCAAACGACGTTCTTCACGCTCTGCTACCTTATTTAACCATTCCTCAGCCATTTGTTGTCGAAATACCTCATCTTCAGAGAGTGTAGGTAGTTTTGGCGCTGGGCGATAATAATCACGTTGTGGTCGTTGTGGTATCTGTGGCACTCGATTCATTTCATCCATCAAACGTCGCCGTTCAGACTGCAACCGGTCAAACTCAGTTTTTAGTTCGTCCTCTTTGGTTAGTATGTATTTAAGTTGTTGTTCTTGTATTTCACGTGGTAATGAAGCACGTCGTTGACGCATTTCTGCCTCCGGCACATGGTAATGTTGCTCAGCACGTGTTGGTGGTGTTGTAGGTGGTGCGGGTGAAACACCACGTCTTGATGTCGTGCTAATATACGTAGGATTTGGATTACGTTCTATCATAGAATGGCAACTTAAGTATTGTGGCCGAGATTTTTGTGGTACTTGATTCAACATTGGAGCATGTGTGCGCCGTACATTATATGCATTGTAACTATCATAGCTCTGTGTATTACTAGATAAGTCATTTGTAGAGACAGATAGGCGTGGTGCACGTATGGTGCGTGGCTTAGAGCGTTGGTAGCAAATTTCGACTTCCCGCGCAAATGGACGTGCTATATTTTCGGAGGAACCTAGATCACTAGCATAACGTGACCAGTCGTCATGATTATAGTTCATGCTATCTGCGCGCTGACGGTGTGGAGGCTGTATGTTGTCCGTTAAGTTAAACATGGACTCAGCTCTGCGAAAGCGTGCGTTGTCTACATAGTCATAACTGTGTTGGTCTGGTGTAATAGCTGGTTCCAATTGTATAGGTATATCGTAAACACGTTGGTCGCCACTGTATGGTGTACGTGGTGTTGAAATTGTACTGGGCGTTTCAGCTGGAGTTGATGCTTCGTACATGCGATTGTTAGAGAAAGAGTTATTGCGTTCTTCCAAATGAATGGGTATATCATAAGTGCGTGTTTGCTGCTGTTGTTGTTGCTGTTGTTGTTGGTGTGGTTGTTGTACGAAGCTTCGAAATTGACGTGACTTCATCGACTTCTCTATTTCACGTTCGAGTTCTTTCATGTGCTCGTGCCGTTGTTTCTTCCAGCTCTCCAATTCACGGCCATAAGGTGCATGCATTTGCATGCGGTTGAGATCATAAAGAGAAGCGGACTTTTCCCGTTGCACTTTTTCCGATTTGCCTGTTTCAAGTTCCATGTGCAATTGTTTTGATAGATCATCAAAGTCCTTGAATAGCTTTTCATGATCGAATAACTTTTCATGACCCCCATTTAAGGTTGCTGGTGCGGTAAATGGTGCAATTGGGTGTGTTGTTGTTTCAGCAGCTGCTTTGGCATGTTGCCGAAATACATCATAAGTACTACTGCTGCTGTTGTTGTTATCGCTAGTGTTGTAGTTGCTTTCGTTTTGTTGTCTATTTTTAAGAATTTCTCTACGCTCTTGCTCACCGCTTGTTGATTGTGTGGTTGATGAGTTAAGTATATGTGCTGGTTTCGCAGTTGTTGTTGTATCTGTAGAGTTTTTGGTATTTAAATTTAATTCTGACATAATTTCGATATTATGAGTATCTGCAGTTTTGTTTTTGTGTTCGTCATTTCTGTTGTCTTTTATACCAATATTTCTAATATCTTCACTAGCGCCTAAACGTGGCGGTGCATCCTGTATTATGTCATGTAATTTTGCATTTGGTCCACCATCTGTGTGAGACTCACGATTAGAGTTTGTGTAATCATAGACAACTTTACCATTTTCAATGCATTTTTTGGACTCAAATGTTGATGTTTCGATATTGGAAAATCTCTTTGGTTGTGTGCTAAGTAGCTGGGAACAGAAAGGACTTCTGTTTGAAGTCTCAATGTTGGAGAAACGTTTTTGTTCCGCATCAAAAAAGCTGCTTTGGCCCATACTAGGGAACATACTCTTAAAATCACTTTCCATACCTGCTGATGATGTGGTGTTATTACTTGTTGGAAATGGCGTTGCTGAAATTTTTGTTGCTGGAAACATATCTGCGGACGTCGTTGCGGTTGATTTCACAATGTGCTCCTTCTGTTCAGTGACTGCACCCGTGGAGGTGTTATAGGTTTGTGTGTGCGACTGTCGCTCAGTGTGTGCTTGCTTTATTTGTTGAAGTGGTTCACCCTGTTTGTGTTCTGCGCTCTTAGCCGGTTGCCTTGAGTTATTTTCAAATGATGATGTCTTTGGTTTAGTAGCGCTTTGTTTCAAATCATTAGAATCATGAATAATAGCCAACAAGCGATGTTTGTTCTCTTCTTCATCGTCATTCATATTTTTGTTTCCATTATTGCTTGTGAAAGGTGGATTTGCTAGTACCGATGCTGTTTTTGTTTTTGTTTCTGTTTCTGTTGTTGTTATAGTTTTTGTAGTGTGCTGGTTAGCATCTCTATGCGAACTTAGTAGGCTTGCGTCATGCCCCTGTCCGAACGTGTATTCGTTAGTGATTTTCTTTTGACTTTGAGCTTTTGCTGCTGTATCTGAACTTTTGATTGGTACGGGCGGTGGTGGAACGGGTGGTGGTGTTGGTGTTAAGCTTTTACGTAATTTCTTCATAACAGCCGCTGTTTCCAAAATCTGCTGCTCATTAAGTTTTTCATTGTTCATTGTTTGGACTTGTTCTGCGCTATATTCATGATAGCCACGTCTATCAATAAACTTCTGATGCGCATCTAACAAATCATCTGGTTTCTGAGTTTCAATCGTTTTCGTTTGCTGTTCACTTATGTAGGAGCGTTGTGAAGGCGATAGGCAAACCAATAGATTTGGATTTTTATCTGTAGGTAGACCGAGCCACGCATTATTTGCTTCTGTTGTCGCCATCGGTACTGATGATGATGTAGGGATACACATTCCATCATTTTGTTGGGTTGGCAACTGTTTTATTGTTACTATTCTTGTAGTGGGATTATCATTTTTGTTTATCGATAGTTGTAAGTCGTTAATGTGCGGTAAATCGGGGAGTGGATATGGCATTTTGTTTGTTTTATTTGCAACGCTTACCTCACCGATATTTTGTGCAACACTAGCTAGCTCTTCTAACACTTCTTCTCCATAGGGCATAGATGCAAGCGTTTCGGCGCATAGAAAGCGTAATTTTTTAATGGGATTTTCATTACTGTCACCTTTAAAGTCAGTGCAGATTGTACCTTCGGAAGCGATATCTGAAAATGGGCTAGAAGGTAAATCGTAATCACTTTGTGGTGTTGTTAGGCCCACATTAATAGCTGTACATTGACTATTATTAGTGCTGTCTGAGTAATGCGAATCAGCTGATGCTTGTCTGCTGAGTGAGGTTAAGCTTAGCTTAGTATTTGCTGGTGTGTGTGGTAATTCGTGTGGAGTTTTTGTTGGAGTAGTTATGTGGTGTTGAATTATTGTTGTATTTTTTAAGCTATCATGCATTGTAGTTGCATTTTCATAATTGTGCAAATCACTGGGTGGAGGTGGAATTGGTGGGGGTAATTCGTCATGAGAAATTTTTTCACTTTTTTGATTTTCTAAAAATATATGTGACACTTGATTACGGTATGGTGTATCGTTTGAACTCGCGCTTGTTAGAACTGCTGAACCCGACGAACCGAAATTGTTTATTGTTTCATGCTTATTTTGCAAATATTTAAGTTCTTCTTCGTTTTGCTTTTGATTACTAATGATATCACGCACGTTATTCATTTCACTATTTTTCAAATGCAAATCATGCGACGGTAATGAGTACAACGACGACGACGAAGGCGATAAAGACGACGACAGCGACGGCGACAACGGTGATGATATTGCTACAAACGCGCTACTACTTGTACGATCCGCACGTAAACGGAAACTATCACTATTCGCGGACGACGGTAGACTTTCTGTATCTGAACTGTTAATATTCGTGTCAAAGCTTTGCACATCTTCTGATCTCTCAGAGTCACTAATTGTGTGCATTGTCTCTACGCTACCGGAAGAGAGCACAGCATTAGCAGAGCGCACGAGCTCATCTATTAATTTGTATTGTTCCTCCTCATTATCATAATTGAGTGCTTTGCTGATTATTGTCTGATTTGTTATGGACAAATTATTGCTGCTACTTTTACTGCTGTTTTCGCTTGTTGCCAATTCACTTGATATTTCTGTTGATTGATTAACAGGTGTGCTTTCGCGGCTATCTGTGGTCTCCATTGTCTCTGTTGTCTCAGCATCCTCAGCTAAATCAACCTCCTCTACAAACTTCTCAGCAGTATCATTTGTTAATTCTAATGGTTTGTTAATAATTTCTTTGGCATCTGTATCTAAATCAATATTTGAAAGTGATGGCTGAAGTGTGCCATCTTCCACATCTAAATCCATTAAATCGGACATACTGCTAGAAGCTGAATTTATGTAAACAACCTCTGCTGCTTCAGAAGCGGGTGCAAGGGTGCTCGATAAACGTGCACAGCACTCCTCAGCTGTTGGCGTTTGATCGATTAATTTTGTTTCTACTACTATGGCTATCGGTTCTTCGCGTATGGCGCCAGGCGATAGCTGTATTTTTGGCAACGTGCCATGCTTATGTTTTCGTGAAAAATCCAGATTACTTTTAGGAAACACAGCATTAGCTTTTTTCGTTTTGATAACATCGTGTGCTTGTTCATCTGTGAGTGATGCATGCATTGACATTGGTTTGTCCGAGCAATCGCTGCGTGCATCACTCATATCACTATTCTCCTCAAGTATGCTATCCAGATAGCGTGGACTAAGCAATTGAGGCAAGAAGTGATTATCTAAAGCTGCACGTTTCTGTGCACGCCTCTGTTTTGCATCGTCCTGTGTTGGAGAACTACTTACCGATTTATCTGTATCGATTTCCTCTGCAGAAATTACGCTCGATAATGGTAAAGTTTGTATTGTTAAAATTTGTGTATTACTTTCGTTGGCGTTTGTGGTAGCCTCTGTCTCAGATTCGACCTCACTGATGAGCGGTGACAATAGCTGACTGTCATTTGTATCACTTATTGAACCCGTATCACTGAGTTCCAGTATTTGTAAGTCTTTATTTATTTCCGTTGAAAATTTTTCATTTGCAACATTTTCAATTGTTTTGGGTGATTCGACTTTGTACTGTTGAACTTCCTGCTTGTGTGTAACGTTCTCGTCCGCGTCCGCGTTTGCATCTGCGTCCTCCTCCAACCTTATACGATGTATAATTACTTTTGCTTTTTGCTGATTACTAACTTTGGGTTGGGTTTGTTGCGTTGAGTCTGTAACGTTAACATTAACGTCAAGGTTTGGTTCCTGCACAATGCGATGAATTATGACTTTGGCTTGTTGCACTTTTGTTGTTGGACTTTTTGATGGCTCATTATTTGTGTCGCTACTGTTATTTATTGTTGCGGTATCAATTTCATTTGTATGCAACATTTTCGTATTATTTACGCCCATATTTATTGCTGTTGTGCCGTCAGTAGTTGTAGAATTTATTTTCGTTATCAAATCTTCAGAGCTTAACAAATCACTGTGCTGCGTAAATGGCTCTTCCTGAGGAATTGTGTCATTGTTGGAAACAATTGTTGCATGTGATGTGCGCGTAGCTGTAGTGCCGGCGTTTGGATGCTTATTGGTGGCGGCGGTATGGTTATTTTGCTCTACAATTGGGGAATGCCGAATTGCATCGTTGCTAGTTTTGCTCTCGTTGTGAGTTGCTGCCGTACTAGTTGATGCCTCCGTATTATTACCTACTGAAATGCATTCGTCGGCGGCCGGCTTTGAAATGTTGCCAGAAATTTGTAAATTTTCATGTAACTCCCCATGTATTGCCCCATCTTGTACATTCAGCCCATCTAATTGTTTTTGATGTTGTTGCTGGTTTTTATCTTCACATTGTTGTTGCTGTTGCTGTTGTTGTTGTTGTTGTTGTTCTTGTTGTTGTTTATTTTGATTTTGGTTGTTATGCTTGTTGCGATTTTTGCTCTTCCGATTCTTATTTTTATTACGATAATTTGGCATTTTACCGTATCACTATATATACATATACCTTAAATACGAGTATCTTCTTATTTTGTATTAAATTTTATTTAAATTGAAAACGTGAGTTTTGCGTAAATGAAAGATTTTATAAATTATTTCATAAAATTGAAACCAATTTGCTCAGTCAATCAAGAAAACAAAAATTTTTTTTATTTTGTATTAAAATAGCCGCTTCTGTGTGGGTTTCGTTCGTCACATTCTGCTCGAATGAGTGTTTCATTAAAGACTAAATCTTCTGCCATGCGGATTTACGCCGGAATCTGATGCGATGCTTCATATATATACAGATATATAAAAAGGTGACACAAATATTAAGAAAAACTACTTTAAAACAAAACAATAAAAGTTTTCAGAAAACTTGTGCATGAGAAAAAGTAGTCCATAGTACAAATGGGAAATTGGAGCAAATCGCAATTTAGAACGGAAAAACATAAGTTTTGTTACTTTCAAAAACATTTAAATAAAATTATACAATTCGAAATTTTTGTAAAAAAAATACATAAAAACTGTTGAGTACCCATCGAAATTATGAAATCATTTCAGTACATTTAACGAGCGGTATTCACGGTATTCCGTTGCTTACGTATTTGAGCTTTTGAAATATTTTATTTTGTTTATAATTTTCCCATTGCGATATAATATATTTAACGAATTGTGTTTTTTCCAACTCATTCTATTGTCAATGAAGCAATTTTCTCTCTACTGCAGATCCACGATTTTCCTTTACTGCGCAGGAAATTTTCGCTCACTCAAAAAATTTCAGAAGAAATAGAACATTTCTAAGATATTTTCTGGGTTTTGTTCACTTTTTTATTGCTGATCATTAAGTTTTCTCGTTGCCGTTCGTTGGAAAAAAGCGAAAAATTGTGGAAGTTCAAGAGATTTAAGATAAGAAATTTTCATTTGCATAGGAATTTTTCCGATTTTATTATTGTTTTTTCGAATTTCTGTTGGCTGTTTTTTTAAGTAAATGTTTATATTTGTATGGAATGGAAACACTTGAATTTTGTTTAATTTCTTTGCACAGGGTTAAGAGGAAAGTCATATTATTTCGGTGGAATTGTTAATGGATTGTGGTTACACACGAAAATTATTGTTATTAGAAGGCGAAATAATACATTGAGGTAATGTATAGCACATTCTGTAGAGTGGAAATTAATCTATTTTTTACTTTTAGATCAGCTAATTGTTAGTAAACATTATAAACAATAAATTCAAATTACTTTGCACATGCTTAACATATACATATATATTTACATAAAATTTTTTAATCATTAATTTATTGTTTTAATGACCAAATTTTATTTATAACGTTCTTGACCAACAGGCTAATTGGTCAATGTTAAATAACACAATTTTTTAAATTAAGTTTAAAATATATATTTTATAGTATAAACTATAGACTATAGTACCATAAAGATGGCAATACACTATTAACTATTGACTGCAGTACCCTGAAGATGATAATAGACTATAAACTGCATTAGTCTAAAGACGACTATGGATTATAGACTGTAGTGTTCTAAAGATAACACAGACTATAGACTATAAATTGCATTTATCTGAAGATAACTATACACTGTAAACAGCAAAACCCTGAAAATGACTATATGTTAGACTAAAAATGCTAAAGCTGACTATAGACTATAGTCAAAATAACGGTGCAAATAAAATATATATTTTAAAATAAGTTTAAAAAATTTTGCCTTATTTAACATTTACCAATTTGGCGTTCAAATATATATTACTATATACAGTCGAATCTGTTTAAGTGATGCGAATACGCTAAGAAACAATACTTACAAAAGATTAAACGCGCTTACTTGCTAAACTAGTATACTTCCAGAACTAAGAACTGAATTTAGATAAATCACCGATTTCTTAACTGTTGACATGTTCCTGTTAACAATCATCTCTAAAAAATAGAATTTAATAATACTGACATCTGCAGATTTTGTATAGATTTAGTGTAGATTTCAATAATATGGACATAAAGGAGGTATAATATTGGATATGAATATGGAAACTTTATTTACTCTACTCGTATATTCTTCAAACTGTTAGCTATTGATGAGTTCTGTTAGAAGAAACCAATAACCAATAACAATATAAGTTAGTTAGAATAGTGAGATCATTTTGTTTTTTGATTTTGTACAGAGACAAATCTTAAGAATATAGATTCTAAATTTTTCTATATATACTACTCATATATAGAATAATTATTTCATATTTATATTTACATATAATAATCATTTTATAATTACTTTTACTAATCATATCTAATTGATGTTGTTAAACTTTGCTAGCTTTTTTGTTACCGCTAATATCTAATAACAACTGTATCAAATCTGACCCGATTGTATGTGGAACTGAATAGAAAGTAGAAAATAAGCAGACTCTTTTTTTGTGTCTGGGTTTCAAAAGAAAATTCTATTAGTTAATTATTAATCTATTTACTTTCAAACATTTCTTCTGATAATAACCAAAAAAAGTATACAAAAATCTATTAAATACAAGTCATAAAAAATATTGTCTTAGATGCTCGATTTCACAGTCAATGTATTGTTGGAATATTACTAATACTATATAGTGATATAAATATTTCATTGATAAAATCAAGCTATTATGTTTTTTGTTTACATCAAACTGAAATAATATTCTATAATTTAAAATGCTTCTGTATTTATTGTTAATAGAAACTTACAACTGATTAGATCCGACATAAGTTTGATTAATTTTTAGCTATAAAATAAATGGCAATATATTTTATGTCTATACATCTCTTTTCAAACCATTTATGCAGAGTGTATGAGATCGTTATTGCAGAAAGGTATGCAATAAGAAAGATATTAAATCTTCATAAAAATAATAAATACACAGATACCATATAGTTAGCAATCTTTCAACTGTGAGTGGAATGTTTATATTTCCGTAGATTAATTTTATTTACCCTATAATTAATTATATTCCGGAATGAAAGAAGATTTGATAAACAATGGATTAGTATCGGAGAAGCGCAGAAATGAACTAAGGCATTTTCATACAATAATATACAAGAGTATAATGAACAATAACATACACTTCAATTGTAGTAATATTTTATTTAATTAATTTTTAAATAAATCAAATTTTAAAATTAATTTTTACTATAAAATTAGAATTTTATATTATTTTCCAACAAATTTATTGATATATGAAAATAATTTTTTTTTATTAAGATACATCTTATTTTCTGTATGTAATATATATATTTATTTCTGAAAAATAAATACATATTTTTATAAAAATTCAACAGTACGAGATGGAATTTTTATTTCATTTAATAAATAAAATACAATCCACCAAATAACTCATAGTCACCCTTCCAGATTCGACTGTATTATTAAGGAATTTTGCCAATAAATTGTTTATTTTACATATTTAGAACAAAATTAAGAGACGTAAAAGATAAATAACAAAATATTGAATAAGTTCGCAATAGATTTTCTTTTAATTTTTTAAAATTTTTCTTCAAAAGTCTTCTAAGAAATGGTAATTGTAATTTGGAAAATGATTTCACTAAAATTTAATAGTTTTCTTATAATTATCTGACAGCAAAGTTAAAAACAATTATTTATATCTAAATTAGCGCTTACAATATTTAAATATTTATTTGATTTGTAGTAAAAATGTATTCACATAAAAATAAATTTAAAAGTGATTGTTTATTTTATTCCCAAGTAATGTAGAAAGTATTCAATATGTCTATACGAAAAACAATTTGTACATATTATAAAAAGTCATTGCACATATATCAATGTAGGTTTTAACCTCTATATTTTTAGCTTTAGATTCAAATACAATTATTTTGCAAAGATACCTGTCAAAGGGATATATGTGCATTTGTTTAATCATTAATAAAAAATGTTGTAGCCCACAATTTTTAAACTATCAATAATCTGTATTTGCAAATATCTGAAGAGAACGTCAAAATCAAAACAAATCAAAATATTGTCTGACAGCAAAGTCGGCTTATTAAACGTAAATTCTATCCAAGTTGAATCGAGAATACTGAACTGCTATCTACCGCAGTATGAACTATCCTAACTAAATAGCAGCCGCTACTTTGCTGTGAATTTCGGAACATGAAGGACTTGAACGCAATTTAAAGATTGACTATATCCTCAATAGAGTATGCATACAGTAATTAATTGGACCTGAGCATTTTACACTTTAGTTCTAAAGAAAATCCTAGAACAACTGAATGAATGTTCAAAAGATTCATTAAAACATTTAAAGTTAAGACTGCTAAGACTTTTTAAGCAGTAAGGATATCACAACAATCACATGTTTTCTGACAACACACTGCAGGTTGAAGTACCATCTCAATACAATTAATTTTCATATTATACGTATTATTAATACATGTTGGTATATTGGATCTGAGATAATTACTTCATACTTCATAGACAAACTCCAGTTCTGAAAGAAATCGTAACTCAACAACCTACCGGATGAAATGTCAAAGCCGAAGATAAGATAAAAGATTTAGTAACCTATCCAGGTCAGTCGCAAATAGATACTTTGCACTGAGCAAAGAAGATATTAAAACTGTCATATGGTTTCTGCACACTATATATTGAAGTACCATTTTAGAAGAATCTCATATATCATGCTAATTAACATGCTAATTAATTAAATCTAAGTCAATTTATATTCGTACGATGGGATGTTCTATATAACAAAAAAAGTTTTGAAAGGATTTTCAATTTACAAATCACTAAATAAACTGTCAAAGCATCCTATTCAAGTGAGTCTTAAATAGACTCTTTGCACTGAGCATAAAGTTTATTAAATCTTTCATAGAGTTTCTCAACACAATTCCCCCTTTTATGTACCAATATATGCTAATTGATTGGATATAAGCCAATTATGATATTCAGAGAGGATCCGAGCAGAAATTTTTATTTTAGTGACGGAGCCAATATCTCACATTACTTATAGAACCCACAACAATATCAACCTAGTTGATCATTAAAAGTGCAATGATCAGTTAAGACAACGGCTATTAAC